TACAGCCCATGCTGTGTGTTGTCCAATCCCTCAGGCTTGCTGGATAAAAGGATCTGGGAGAAACTATACTGTTTTTGAAGTATTCTGCCCTGCATGGGAATATGATCTATTCAATGGAAAAACTCAAAGTTCACAAACAAATAAGGCCCAAGAGCACCATGTGGCTGCATTTCTGGGTTTGGACACTCTGCTTGGCAGGAAAGCTACCATCTGATCCTTCTGACTCTAAAGGCTTGTGTGGACAGGCTTTGGGCTTGTGTTGATGCCATCCGTTCAAGATACTTCTGAGATCATTCAGAATTCATTGACAGGTGCAGTTGACCTCCTTCTGACCTGCATTTGGCCTGCTTCAAGTAGGTTTTGCATTCCTCTAGACTTTTAAGGGGTAAAGAACAGAAGCCTGTTGACCCATTCCTTAAGACTTGCTGGACAAGAGGAGCTTGGAGAATCTACTGTATAATGTTTTTGAGCCCTGCATGGGAATGTAATCTGTTCAATGGAAAACCCCAGACAAAACTCAAATTCCATGAAGAAATAAGCTGCAAACATACCCTGTTGCTGCATTTCTGGGTTTGGCCACCCTGCTTGTGCAGAAAAGCTACCATTTGATTCTTCTGAACTCTAAAGGCTTGTGTGGACAGGCTTTGGACTTGTGTTGATGCCATCTGTTCAAGATACTTCTGAGATCATTCAGAATTCATTGACAGGTGCGGTTGACCTCCTTCTAACCTGCATTTGATCTGCTTCTTATAGACTTTTATGGGAAAAAATCAAAAGCCTGTTGACCCAATCCTTAAGACATGGTGGACAAGACTATCTGGGAGAATCTATACTGGTTTTGAAGTTGCATGTGAATGCAATGGAAAACCCCAAGCAAAGCTCAAAATTCATGCACAAATAAAGCTCATAAGCACCATGTGGCTTCATTTTTGGGTTTGGACACCCTGCTTGGCAGCAAACCTACCATCTGATCCTTCTGATTCTAAGGGCTTGTGTGTAGGCAGGCGTTGGGCTTGTTTTGATGGCATCCGTTCAAGATACTGCTGAGATCATTCAGAATTCATTGACAGGTGCAGTTGACTTCCTTCTGGCCTGCATTTGGCCTGCTTCAAGTGGGTTTTGCATCCCCATAGAGTTCCCATAGCACTTGAAAAGGATAACGCCTGTTGGCCCAACCCCTAAGGCTGGATGAACAAGAGGGGCTAGCAGAAGCCTTCAATAAGATCTGCTCAATGGAAAACCCCATTCAAAACTCAACATTCATGAACAAATAATGCCTTTTGTGCATTTTGGAGTCTGGACACCCTGCTTAGTAGAGAAGCTAGCATTTGCCTCTGACTCTCAGGGTCCACGTCTACGGCCTTTGGGCTTGTTTTGATGACATCAGTTTGAGATGTTTTTTAGATTGTTCAGAATTCATAGGCAGATGTTTATGGAAGTGCACAACTCCTTTAAGGGGCCTTTGGGGCCCTAAGATCGGCTGGACTAGAAGAGCTGGGAGTGGTATGCTAGGACCGCACTATCGAGAGAGTACAGTACAATGTACCAAAACACAACGTACCATGTCACACAACCCATGTCCACCATGTTTTATCCCTTTAAAGACCATGCAAGCACAGAAAAACATATCTTGATCAGCCAGAAATCCAATGAGCCCCTAAAGTCCTGCAATGTCTGCTGCACTAAAATCACAAGCAGTGTTGCCATCCCTGCCAGAATCTTCCCTTACCGGACTACAGAACACCTCCACAGGGGCAGACTGACAACTCATGGGGCCCCCGGGCAATAGGAGATCATGGGGCCCCTGTGTCCTTGCCCAACCTCAAAAAAGCCTATGAAAAAGGTACCAGGGGTATCTCATGGGGCCCCCTACTGACCCCAGGCCCTCGGGCAGTGCCTGAGTTTCCAAATGGTCAGTCCGCCCCTGCACCTCCATGATATAGAGATGTTGAGAGGGGTAGGTTTAGCGCCAATAGGGAGACTTAAAACCCCATACACACACGATGAGAATATCTGATGAATGATTGTTTGTTTTTTTTTTTCATGCTAATCTCATATCGAAAGTGAAGAAGTTACTAAAGTTACAAAAATTCTGGTACAACAGAATAAAAATTCGGAAGTGATGTCATGTGTTGTATGGTATTTGTATTGTATTTTCTGATGAAAACTGTACTGATGAAACAAAAATCGTACCATCCCAGAGGAAAATGTTTGTGCTTGTCCCCACCCAGGACTTGCAGTTCATTCATTCATGGAAGTCTGTGAATGAATGACGCGGCCGAGTGGGACTGACAGATAGTACGGGGAGAAGTCTCCATATACTATGTCAGAGGGAGGGGGTGGCAGGCGGCGGCTGTGGCTATGGGGACATGTTACATGGTCCACCCTAAGGCACGGTTCACACCTATGCAGGTTGCGTCTGAACCATTTCTGCATTGCGTTTTGCGTTTTTGCATTTGCATTTTTGCCACGTTTTTTAATGTGTTTTTGCATTTTAGCATTTGCATTTTTGCCACGTTTTTTATGTATTTTGCGTTTTTTTCTTATTCTTGTAGCTAGGCAGATTTAAAACGCAAAAAAAAAAAACCGCAAAAAGCAGCAAAAACGCAGCACTTTTTTTATGTGTTTTTGCATTTGCATTTTTGCCATGTTTTTTATGTGTTTTGCAAGGCAAGGTTCACACCCATGCAGGTTGCATTTGACCCGTTTCTGCATTGCGTTTTGCCTTACATTTTGCGTTTTTGCATTTGCATTTTTGCCACGTTTTTAATGTGTTTTTGCATTTTAGCATTTGCATTTTTGCCACGTTTTTTATGTATTTTGCGTTTTTTTCTTATTCTTGTAGCTAGGCAGATTTAAAACGCAAAACAACCGCAAAACGCAGCAAAAACACAGCGCTTTTTTAATGTGTTTTTGCATTTGCATTTTTGCCATTTTTTTATGTGTTTTGCAAGGCAAGGTTCACACCTATGCTGGTTGTGTTTGACCCATTTCTGTATTTTGCCACGTTTTTGATGTGTTTTTGCATTTGCATTTTTGCCATTTTTTTTAATGTATTTTGCATTTTTTTTCTTTTTCTTGTAGCTAGGCAGATTTAAAACGCAAAAAACTCAAAACACAGCAAAAACTCATCACGTTTTTTATGTGTTTTTGCATTTTTGCCATGTTTTTTATGTGTTTTGCATTTTTTTTCTTTTTCTTGTTGCTAGACAGATTTAAAATGCAAAAAACGCAAAACGCAGCAAAAACTCATTACGTTTTTTATGTGTTTTTGCATCTGCATTTTTGCCATGTTTTTTATGTGTTTTGCGTTTTTTTTTCTTTTTCTTGTTGCTAGACAGATTTAAAATGCAATAAAACGCAGCAAAAACTCATCATGTTTTTTATGTGTTTGTGCGTTTTTGCATTTGCATTTTTGCCATGTTTTTTATGTGTTTTGCATTTTTTTTCTTTTTCTTGTTGCTAGACAGATTTAAAACACAAAAAAACACAAAACGCAGCAAAAACTCATCACGTTTTTGATGTGTTTTTGCGTTTTTGCATTTTTGCCATGTTTTTATGTGTTTTGCGTTTTTTTTTCTTTTTCTTGTTGCTAGGCAGATTTAAAACACAAAACGAAGCAAAAACTCAGCAAAAACGCAATACATGCTTTTATGCAGTGTTTCCATTGAAGTCTATAGAACCAAAAAAAGTTCCTCACCCTCTCCAAAAAACACACCGGGTGAAAACGTGGAGATGTGAACGTGTCCCATAGGAAATGATGGTAAGTGGATTGAACTGCATGTCTGAAAAACGCAAAACGCTGCAGAAAATGCTTACCCGGGGGGGTAAAAACGGGTGGAACATGTAACAAGTTCTCAAAGGCGAACTTATCCTTTAACCACTTCCCGTCCGGCCCATGTACATAAGTAAATGGCTGGACGGGAGTGCTGTCGGAGCGGGTGGACGTTTTTAAACGTCCCCCCGCATCCATTGCCTGTGCGCGCTCCCTGGGAGCGTGTAGCACTGCGATCGGTGCCCTCCGGGACACAGCAGAACACTGAACGTCGTATGGGACCTCTGTGTGAGGTCCCAATCATGTGATCACTGATTGGCCAATCAGTGATCACATGAATAGTAGCAAACTAAGATTTCACTCCCTGACTTCATTGCTTACTACGTGTGAAATCTGTGAATGATCACAGAGATCACATGGTACAGGGCTATTCACAACAGCCTCGTACCATGTGACAAGCTGTGACCAATCACAGCTCTCACAGTATTTCTCAATGGCTGCAAGAATGCAGCCAGAGAGGAGAAATAATTGGTTTTACAGCCTTTATGGGTGTAAAAGCAATCAGTGTAAAAAAGAACAAAAAACTTCATCACCCCCCCACAAGTAGTACAGTGTCACCATGGTGTCACTGTACTGCTAGGGTGATGGTATGTAAAAAAAATATATATATAAATAATAATATAAAAAAAATAAAATAAAAATGCAAAACAAAATTTCAAAAATTACAATTTTTGTTTGTGAATTAATTTTGGTTAGTTTTTTTTTTACTACAAATATAGATGAATACATTTTGGCCAAGATTTATGAAGAAAGATTATTTATTTGCAAACTTTTATAAGAAAAACACTTTTTTTTTTCCAAATTTTTGGACTTTTTGATTTATATAGCAAAAAAAAAAAAAATAATCCCAGTGGTGAATAAATACCACCAAGATAAAGTTGTATCTGTCTCAAAAAAAAATGCTAAAAAATTCATATGGGTACAGTGTTGCATAACCGCGCAATTGTCATTCAAAGTGTGATAGCGCTGAAAGCTGGAAATTGGCCTGGACAGGAAGGGGTGAAAGTGTCCGGACTGGAAGTGGTTAAGGGTCAGTATCAGGGGCAGACCGACAACTTATGGGGCCCCCTGGGCAATAGGGGATCATGGGGCCCCTGGAGGGGCGAACTGACCATTTGGAAACTCGGGCACTGCCCGAGGGCCCGGGGTCAGTAGGGGGCCCCATGACATACCCCTGGTACCTTTTTCATAGGCTTTTTTGAGTTTGGGCAAGGACACAGGGGCCCCATGATCCCCTATTACCCAGGGGCCCCATGAGTTGTCAGTCCTCCCCTGGGCCCCTGTGCCCTTGTCCACACTCAAAGCACACCCAAAAAAGCATATAAAAAGGTACCAGGGGCATTTCATGCGGCCCCCTACTGACCCCGGGCCCTCAGGCAGTGCCCGAGTGCTCGAATGGTCAGTCCGCCCCTGGTCTGTACTAAGGTCCTGGAGTTGAGACTGCTTCTCTGTCATTTAAATTCTGCATGGAGCTGTACAGAACAGGGGAGGGGGACACAAGCTACTTACCTACTATTCAGCTATGTCTGTAATCTGAGCTTCAGTTATAAAAATATATTATTCAGCAAAACAGTTCAGGTTAGCCTATTAAAGAAGGAGCATAGAGCACCTTTCATGGACTGAGATAGTAATACATATGAACATATGTGAGCACATACAAAAAAACTATTGTGGCCTGCAAGCTGAACTCCTAACACGTAATGCAGTTGTATATGTGAGTTTTTCCACATTCCTAGCATAGGTACCTGATTCTGTCTTCCTATCAGCTTCTGTCACACCTCAACCCTCAGATGAGGCAAGGAAGGGACAATACTAGCAGCCACTCGGGATGACAGGGAACATGCTGACAGGAGGAGAGAGCAGAGTGAGCAGAATTGCTGACCTTTCAGTTCGTTAATGCAACTTCATTGGCTAGTCTGCAGGCTGTGGGCAGGGAGGTGTGTTTTTCCACATTCCTAGCATATGTACCTGATTCTGTCTTCCTATCAGCTTCTGTCACACCTCAACCCTCAGATGGGGCAAGGGAGGGACACTACTAGCAGCCACTCAGGATGACAGGGAACATGCTGACAGGAGGAGAGAGCAGAGTGAGCAGAATTGCTGACTGGGGCGGACTGACAACTCATGGGGCCCCTGAGCAATAGGGGATTACGGGGCCCCTGTGTCCTCACCTACACTCAAACCACACCCAAAAAAGCCTATGAAAGGTACCAGGGGCATCTCCTGGGGCCCCCTACTGACCCCGGGCCCTCGGGCAGTGCCCGAGTTCCCAAATGGTCAGTCTGCCCCTGTTGCTGACCTTTCAGTTTGTTAATGCTACTTCATTGGCTAGTCTGCAGGCTGTGGGCAGGGAGGTGACTCCGCTGAATTTGTCATTGCCTTTAATGAAAGTGGTGTCTCCCTCCTGGCTGTACTCTCTGGTAGATCTGTATAAATGGCAAAAGTGGCCAGACAGAATTTCAAATCCTTTAGATGCAGGGGTGGACTGACCATTTGGAAACTCTGGCACTGCTGAGGGCCCGGGGTCAGTAGGGGGCCCCATGAGATGCCCCTGGTACCTTTTTCATAGGCTTTTTTGAGTTTGGGCAAGGACACAGGGGCTCCATGATCCCCTATTGCTCGGGGGCCCCATGAGTTGTCAGTCCGCCCCTGTTTAGAAGTTTACAGCTAAACCCAAAGCAGATATAAAAGACGCACATGGATGCTGCTCTGTGTTCATTAAGCCCGGGTTCACACTGATGTGGTGCGGCACACCGCATGTGATCCCCGTAGGATCCGCGCCGCATTCCTGTGCAAGTCACATGCGCTTTCCGTGTGCTGCAGATTCAGTCATACAGTTTTCATGGCTCAAATTGCAATGTATCTACACCAACAAGGACCCTTTTTTTCGTCTGCACCAAAATCGGATCGTATGGATGTGAACACTGATGTGATCCAATTCTGCACATTGCATTGCATTTTGCGAACCAATTTTGGGGTGTTGTTGACTAAAAATACACCCCCGCAAGGGTTCGTATGAACGGGGTGCGATTATGATGCGGTGTGGAAATCGCACAGAAACCAGAGTGAATTCTGCACTGCATCAGTGTGAACCCGGGCTAAACATAATTTGTTTAAGTGCAAGCAATGTAAGTACCTGAATCTGCCCTCGCATCAGCCTCTTGTAGTCCCTGTACAGCAGAGCTCAGACTGGGAGAGGATGAAGCAGCACAAGAAGCCAATCAGCTCATGTGCTGACAAGGAGCAGCATACTGATAGGAAGAGAGAGAAAGCTGAGCTCCTCAGTCTGCCACTTATCCCCACCCTGGAGAGATACAAGATCTGTACATGGAGCTGAAACTACAGAAGAGGAATATCAAGCCCCTCCCCCATCAGCCTCTTGCTGTCCCCAGGGGTGGACTGACAACTCATGGGGCCCCCAGGCAATAGGGGATCATGGGGCCCCTTTGTCCTCGCCAACACCGAAAAAAAGCCTATGAAAAAGCCAATAAAAGGTATCAGGGGCATCTCATGGGGCCCCCTACTGACCACAGGCCTTCGGGCAGTGCTCGAATTGTCAGTCTGCCCCTGGCTGTCCCTATACAGCAGAGCTCAGACTGGGAGAAGCAGCACAAGGAGCCAATCAGTTCATGTGCTGATAAAGAGCATGCTGACAGGAGGAGAGACAGAGAAAGATCAAGCCCCTCCCCCATCTGCCTCTTGTTGCTCCTTTACAGCAGAGCTCAGACTGGGAGAAGCAGAAGCAGCACAAGGAGCCAATCAGTTCATGTGCTGACAAAGAGCATGCTGACAGGAGGAGAGACAGAGAAAGATCAAGCCCCCTCCCCTTCCGCCTCTTGTTGCTCCTTTACAGCAGAGCTCAGACTGGGAGAAGCAGAAGCAGCACAAGGAGCCAATCAGTTCATGTGCTGACAAAGAGCATGCTGACAGGAGGAGACAGAGAATGATCAAGCCTCCTCAGCCATCAGCCTCTTGTTGTTCCTTTACAGCAGAGCTTAGACTGGGAGAAGCAGAAGCAGCACAAGGAGCCAATCAGTTGTTGTGCTGACAAGGAACATGCTGATAGGAGAGAGAGAGATGAGCTCCTCGTCTGCTGCATTTCCTTTCCCTGTCCAGTCAGAGGCTGGGGGAAAGACACAAGCCATCTAAGTGAAAGTGAAACTGCAGCCTACTCCCCCATCAGCCTATTGTTGTCTCTATACAGCAGAGCTCAGAATGGGAGAAGAGATGAGCTCCTCGGTCTGCTGCATCTCTTTTCCCTGCATCTCCTTTCCCTGCCCAATCACAAGCTGGGTGTAGAGATACAAGACCTGTAAGTAAAAGTGAAACTGCAGCAAAGAAAGATCAAGCCTCCTCCTCTCCCATCAGCCTCTTGTAGTACAGCAGAGCTCAGACTGGGAGAAGCAGCACAATGGGCCAATCAGTTCATGTGCTGACAAGGAGCATGATGACAGAACGAGAGACAGTGAAAGATCATGTCTCCTCCCCCATCAGCCTGGTGTTGTCCCTGTACAGCAGAGTTGTAGATAAGGAGTGTGCTGATGAGCTCTTCATTCTACGGTTTGTCTTTTCCTTGTCCAATCCCAGGGTGGGGGAGAGAGAGAGAGATACAAGACCTGCCAGTGAAAGTGAAACTGCAGCAGAAAAAGATTATGTCTCCTGTATGCATCAGCCTCGTGTTGTCCCTATACAGCAGAGCTGTAGACAAGGAGCATGCTAATAGGAGGACAGAGCAGGGTGACAGAGAGATGAGCTCTGCATTCTACTGCTTCCCTTTTCCCTGTACAATCACAGGGTGGGGGAGAGAGAGAGAGAGATACAAGACCTGCAAGTGAAAGTGAAACTGCAGCAGAGAAAGATTAAGCCTTCTCCTCCATCAGTCTCTTGTAGTCCCTGTACAGCAGAGTCAGACTGGGGGAGGGAATGCAACACAAGGAGGCAATTAATGTGCTGGTACAGACCATGCTGATAGGAGTAGGGAGGGGAGTAACAGAGAGATGATCTCCTCAGTCTACTGCTTCCCTTTTCCCTGTCCAATCACAGGGTGGGGGAAAGAGAGAGATACAAGACTTGCAAGTGAAAGTGAAACTGCAGCAGAGAAAGATTAAGCCTTCTCCTCCATCAGTCTCTTGTAGTCCCTGTACAGCAGAGCTCAGACTGGGGGATAGAAATGCAACATAAGGAGGCAATTAGTTAATATGCTGGTAAAGACCACACAGGTAGGAGTAGGAAGGGGAGTAACCAGGGGCGGACTGACAACTCATGGGGCCCCCGGGCAATAGGGGATCATGGGTCCCCTGTGTCCTTGCCCAAACTCAAAAAAGCCTATGAAAAAGGTACAGGGGAATCTCATGGGCCCCCCTACTGACCCCAGGCCCTCGGGCAGTGCCCGAGTTTCCAAATGGTCAGTCCGCCCCTGGGAGTAACAGAGAGATGACCTCCTTAGTCTACTGCTTCTCCTTTCCCTGTCCACTCAGAAACTGTGGGAGAAACACAGGACCTGTGAGTGAAAGTGAAACTGCAGAGAACATTCAGGCTTTCTCCCCCTGCTAGGCAGGGCTGTACTGTGTGGCAGAGCAGTGTAAATTTCAGGACTGGATGGGCAGAAATACAAATTGGTTTTCCCAGGCTGCATTTGATCTGTGTATTCAGCAGTTTGCCTGGAATCCAGCTTTAAGCTGACAACAATCCGACGGGTAAGTAAAAAAAAAAAAAAAAAAATGAACGGATTCGTTTTCAGGAGCCGTCCTCGATGAATTGGAGAGTCTGCAGTGTAATTTCGCTGCATACAAAGGAGCAGGTGCGGAAAGCTGCAAACTCGGCATAAGGCGGCTAAAATTTCCAAGTGAGACGAGAATTACATTTCACTTTCTTAATTACGTTCTGCTCAGTTTTTTTTTGCTCTCCATAAGCATAAAAACAGCTATTTTAAATAGTCACGAGTAAGCAGCCAGGAGCCGGCCTCATCCAATGGGAGCTTTCCGCATGTCTGGGCAGCAGTTAAAGGGACAGTCCACCCAAAACTGATGGCCAACTGATACTGTAGAAGCTCCCAACCTGTTTTGACTCTTCATCAGGGACATCAATACACCTGGAAACTCAGAGAGAGGTTAGCGGTGGCAAGCCTACAGATGGAGGTTAAAAACAATAGGCCTGGTATTGTGGTGATGCGATTCAGAGATAAAAGGGTCCCAAAAGGGGGAAAAAGGATCAGAGTAAAAGGAGAGGTCCAGAGGGCACCAAAGAGACCTCAAC